ATTTTTAATCCCAAATGTTTTTTTATTCTCACTAAACCTGGGGACAGCCTCGTTTCAAATTTGGATTATGATAGAACTGCAGCTACAACCAAAGTAGAAATATTTTAGTAATAATTTAAACCAAAATACACTACAATATGCCTATCCTATAAAACATCAGATTTCACGTTTACTATGCAAAGATAATATCATCAAAATATGAACATTGCTGATGATACTTTGAAGTTCCTTATTTGAAAAATACACATTTAAATAGTATAGTCATCAAATATAAGAAGTTAGCATTTGCAGTAACGCTGAATGTCACTTTTCAAAGGCAGCTTTAATACGTTTATTTTCATTTCTGGTAAGATTCATAGTTGCTAGCAAAGTTTTTTTAATCTGAATTCTTAAGGCACTGTCATCATTTCTTAGAAAAAATAAAGGATTTTAGCCTTAGTAGTTTTATACAATTTTCAAAATTTAGCTTTTCATTTATATTACCATAGATTGATATACAAAATAAAATTTTATATGTAAGACACCAAGTGGTAACTAAAGTTTCTGAATACCTTGCTTAAAACAGAGACTTCTTTTTCTTCTGCAAGAAAGTCTGCTAGAAAAGCAGATCTTTGAAAATTTTGCTGCCCTTTACAAAGCAAATAAAGGTTAAGCTGTCTATCTAAACTTTTCATACTTCCAGTTTCAAATATTCTGAAAGGGGCATTTCTTTCCAAAACTTCCTCCTTAAGGACATCTTCATCAATCACTATGGAAGTTCCAATATCATCCCACCAGATGCATTTAAATTGGTCACTCCCAGCCATTTTCCAGAGTTTTCTTGGAAATGTCAGAGAAAGAAAATCATAATCTTCATCTGGTTCAGGGACACAATGTGTGTAACATGGCCTTTTTATAAAGGATTCTTCAGACAAAGTCTGAATAGCATTTTCTTCAATCATAGACCTCAAGTCCAACTCCCCAGAGAATGTTTGATCACACAATAGAGATCTAACGGAGTTTCCTGAACAAGCTGGTACATCTTTATGAGACACATCTTGAATATCTGAAGAAACAAGTGCCATTTCATATAACTTTTTCTACAGGTACTTTTCAAATCTGCAAGATTTTGAGCACTGCAGCTTCAAATGCTGCTCTGGCAGGTTTGCACAGATAAATTGCTACGCCATCACAATGGTTCTCAACCTAAGTAGCTGTGACATCACAAGAAGACTGGTCTCCTAGCAACTCAAGTGTAAATTTCAGCCAGTGTTTACTTCTCATTCATCCAGTTAAACTGAAACATATATGATACTTATTTTTATAGTGTGATCTGCAAATATTATCCCCACAAAATCTTTTTAAGTAATTTAATTTTTGGGTCTATTAAATAAAACCAATCTTCATTCTTTTGTACACAAATTTATAACAGATTGGTGAACAGAGCATAAATAATGCAAAAAATATATAAAATAATTTTAAAGTTTTGAAATTTAAAGTGAAATTTGTGTATAACCTGTACAGAAAAGGTATAATTATTTCATCAACATTTGTAATTAAAGTGAAACTAAATTTGATTTGGAAATGGAAGTTGGTATTTATCTGTGTACTTTACAATAAGTAGCTCTATATTCAAGACATGAGAAGACTAAATATCAGTTTATTTGGTATGTTTATAAATGAATGGTTAATATTTAGGAAATAAAATTAGATAAAATAATCAAATTTAAGAAATTCCAAAGGGGGAATTTTTGATTTAAATTGAAATTCAGTGCTATAATTGAAACAAATGTAATTTAATATTCTACATTAAAATTGCAAAACAGACAATCTTATTGTATATTTACAAATGTTTATTTTTGCCATTCTTTCACTCAGAGGTTTATCAGTCCCTTGAAGTAATAAATATTCTTGTCATCTTTATAATCCATACTCTTGGGGCTTCCCTAAAGTGTTCCAAAAGATGTTGATAAGTAGACATATGCACAAGATCCTGGGTTCAATAAGCAGTGCTTCCATTAAGGGGCAAACATTCAAACAATCAAAAAACAAAGATATAACTGTCTATGTCGGTTGGGGTGGAAAAGACCAGGTAATGCATTTTAGGAAGCAATATATTTCTCAGTCCTGAAACAGTTGCCATTGTTTGTATAATACAGCATTTTAAGGTAAGTGTCTTGTGCACTAATTGCAAATAAGAGCTATGTTCTGTATCAGTAAACTGTAATAAATCCAGTTCTACCAAAAGTTATATTTTTTATTCAGAAATAAATTCCATTAAACATAAGCCAAATTCAAAATGAGAGATAAAAATTTTAAATAAATAAATCTACACCCAAGCTACAATGTAAATTATTTCTTCAGTATCTGTAAATTCCATTCCAGATACATATTAGCAACCTGAACTCATGGCATATTATAAGTATTATAAACAATAGTTAAGTTGGATTTAGTCCTGATTCATAAATAATATTGAATATACGCAAATGAATATTTGCAATACCATCCCTTTAAAAAACAAAGAATTCAAAACAAGAATCTCAAAATATGTAGGAAAATTATTGACAGAACTGATCTTAACTTTCTTAGAAAAATATTCTTTAATTCACTCTAGATAGAATGTAACTAAGCATAATATAAGCCATTTATGAAAAACCCATGACTAACATCAATGTTAACATACAGGAAGGTTTTCCTCTAGTCCAGTAATAAGAAAATGCAGCTCGTATACACAAGTCCTAAATTACACTACTAGAAGTCCTAGCCTGAACAACTAGTCAAGAAATAATATAAAATTCATCCTACTTGTAATAAAGCAGTGAAGTTTTTACAGATGACATAATTATGCATAGAAAGAAAATTCCATATACTCCTCCAGTGACTGAAATAATGAATAAACTTAGTAAACTTGCAGAAGAGAAAATCAATACACATTTATCCGTTGCATTTTTGTTTAGTAACAACACATTACCAGAAAGAGAAATTAGGAAAAATATTGTGTGTAAATTTATACCAAAAAAATATAGGAAGAAATATTATAAGTGAAATAAAAGTTCTAAACGTAGATCTATATATTACAGGTGCAAGAAATATAAGTAAACAAAATATATAGGAAGAT